CCAACTTTCTCAACATTCTCCAATGGCTAGCTGCCCCTGTGATTACTCTTCCCTCAAAATGTTTGCTTTGAAAATTACTTTTAAATCGGATGAATAGGGGACAGAGATGCATGCACAGCATCAAATCATGTAAAGAAGAGTAACATCAGATTCAAGAGATTCCTGTTCTTCAATCTTCTACAGTTAAGATTCTAAGTAAGACTTTCAAATATTTAGATTTGAAATTTAACAATTTCAAACAATTCGGCTCTTTCCATACTTTGTTGATAGTACTGCTATAAACATTGGGGTGCATGTGCCCCTTCAAATCAGCATTTTTGTATCCTTTGGATAAATACCTGGCAGTGCAATTGCTGGGTCATAGGGTAGTTTCTGTTTTTTGGGTATTTTTGAGAAACTATTTTCCAATTGTTTAAAAACAATTTAACAACTGTTTTTAAAACAAAGGAATCTGGGTCAAAGAAGAAATCATGAGGGAAATTAGAAAATACTTCAAGATGAATGAAAAAGAAAACCTAATATGCCAAAACTTATAGGGTGCAAGTGGAGCAAACTATACCAAAAGCAAATCAGAAAAAATATGAGCAGAAATTAATGAAGGAATAGAGAAATAGAGAAAAATCAATGAAACCAAAAGTTGGTTCTTTGAAAAGATCAACAAAATTGGCAAACCTTTAGCTACACCAACCAAGAAAAAACAGAAAGGTTAAAGTACTAAAATCAGGAATAAAGAAAAGACATTACCACCTATGCTGTAGAAATAAAAGGTATTATAAAGAAATTTTATGAATTGTTTGCAAATAAATTGGACAATTTGCATGAAATGGACAAGCACCTAGAACCACAGATTATCAAAACGGACTTCAAAAGAAACAGAAAAAGCTGAACAGCCATACAAGAAACTGATTCAATAAACAAACAATTGTCAAAGAAAAGCCTATGCCCAAGTGGCTTACTAGTGAATTCTACCAAACATCTGCAGAAAAATTTTAAAAATTCTTCACAAACTCCTCCAAAAAGTAAAGAGCATTTCTCAACTTACTTTATAAGGCCAGTGAAGCAAAGACAACAGCACTAGAAAACTATTGATGAACATCTATTCTTTTTTTAATTTTTAATTTTCATTTATTTTTGAGAGAGAGAGACAGGCAGAGAGCAAGCAGGGGAGGGGCACAGAGAGAGGGAGACACAGAATTCGAAGCAGGCTCCAGGCTCTGAGCTATCAGCACAGAGCCCAACGCAGGGCTCGAACCCATGAACCATGAGATCATGACCTGAGTTGAAGTCAGACGTCTAAGCGACTGAGCCATCCAGGTGCCCCATGAACATCTCTTCTAAATGCAGATGTGGAATTCCTTAACAAAATACTAGCAAAAAAATAAATAAATAAATAAATAAAAGACTATACACCGTAATCAAGTGGGATTTAGCCCAGGAATGCAAAGTTGCTTTAACATTCAGGAAATCAATTTATGTAATACACCATATGAAAATGAGTAAATAAAGGAACCATTCTTTGCTCACACTAGGGGAATGTAACAAAAAATAAAGAGTTAAAACTTCCTTTATCTTTCAAAAATAAGACATAAATAATCCAAGTGAAAGAAAAAAGCATGGAGGACACTTGCAGAAATATTCCAGATCAGAGGCTACAGAAAAATGGAAGTTCAATATCTGACCGTAGACTCAATCCTGTACTGGGAAGATAAACTGCTAAAAGTCATTACTGGGTCAACTGACATAATGGGAACAGACAAATTAAAGTAGATGTTATCAATGTTAAGGTCACCTGGGTGGCTCAGTTGGGTTGAGCTCAGGTCATGATCTCACGGTTGGGAGTTTAGCCTCATGCCAGGCTCTGTGCTGACAGCTCAGAGCCTGGACCCTATTTGGATTCTGTCTCTCTGCTCCTCATGCTCTCTCCTCTCAAAAAGTAAACATTTTAAAAAGATTTTTTAAAAATGTTATCAATGTTAAACTTACTAATGATAACTTTACTGCAATTCTATAAGAGAATATTCCTATTTTTTGGGAAATACACAGTAAAATACTTAGGAGTAAAGGGCCATAATGCATGCAACATATATATGCGACAAAGAAAGAGAGGATAAATGATAAAACAAGTGGGGTGATATATTAATGATAGATGAATCTAGGAATAGGGTTTCTTTTTGAAATTACTCTCAAGTTAAGAATGTTGGAAAACCTCCCTCCCCCCCCAACAGAAGACAAGTTATGGAAGTATTTATATTACCAGGACACCTTTTAGATTCCTTTTTTAAGATTCTAGTAAGACAAATAATGGTACAGTGAAGAAAACATTAACTTGAGTTTTGTTTCTCTGATAATGCACAAGTTTGTTTTCTGATGTGTAAAATAGATTAAGTTAGATGAATAATGAAACCTGCTGAAGAATAAAATACAGGGGCGCCTGGATGGCTTAGGTCGTTGAGCATCCAACTTCGGCTCAGGTCATGATCTCACTGCTCATGAGTTCAAGCCCCATGTCCCGTCGGTGCTGACAGCTCAGAGCCTGGATGGAGCCTGCTTCGGATTCTGTGTCTCCCTCTCTCCCTGCCCCTCACTTATGCTCTCTCCTTCTCAAAAATAAACATTAAAAAAAATTTTTTTTTTTTAAAATACAAACACTTAAAATATAATTTTACTGTTTGAAATACTAGAACTTTATGGTTATATATATCTTATTATTTTATGCCATTAGTTACATCCAAAACTTTGAATGCTCAGACAGCTAGAAGTCTCTAGGAACTAAGAAACAAAAAGACTGTTTTGGTTGGCATATTCCATACACTTCTAACTTTACAGTAGTTTCACATTTCTCCTGCCATTCTTTCAATTACCACTGCTGCTTCTTTCTCCATGTTTATCAAATAACTTAATGTATGAGTGAATAGTTTATAAAATGCCTACTGTACAGTATAAACTAAATTACAAATCTACATACAGAGCCTCCTGCTCTTCTAAGAAAACGTGCTGCACAGGGCTGGATAAACAACAGAAACTTTATTAATACAGAATTCTTATATTTATTGTCACCATAACACCAACTCCATTAAAATAATTCTGTACTGATGCTGACTTCTGGAACTAAGTTCCTATTCTAAAAAGAGGGATTTTAATGTGACCATCTTGACTTTATGTTCCTAACCTAATAATGAACTGCAGGTACTTGTAATTCCAAAACAGCCTGCTGTTTGCTTCCCTAGCTCCATGCCTTTCCACACACTGGTCTTTCAACCTGAAATGTCCTTCTCTAGCTGGCACTTCCCTTTCTACGGAGCTGTCATTTGCACAGGTCTGTAAATAGTACCCTGCCTTCTCACATCTGTACTTGGACATAATCCTACTTTTGAATTTATCTGCTCTGTGATAGACCTGTCTCTCCTACTAACCCTGAGTTCTTTGATAGCAAACACTCCAGAGTTTAGCACTATGCCTAATAAATAGCTTATGCTTAAGTTCTGAATAAGAAAAAGCAATCAGTGCTTACGACTCAGCCAGGTATTGTTCAAAGTATTACACCATATGAACTCATTTAATCCTTATACAACCTAACAAAGTTGGTATTATTATTACACCCATTTTTAAAGATGAAGAAACGTACAGAAAGGTACCTTTCGTTTTTAAAGTATTTTACAATCGGAATAAAACGTGTACACGCTCTCAGCTTCCAGTCTTCACCAAAAACCTTCGTAGAGCTCCATTCTAACCTACTAGGAGTCACACTGTCGCTTAAACCCAGTTATCGGTCGCTGCAAATCATCGCTACCGTGCCTTCCCCACACATGCTGATTCTAACTAGTCTGCTCTACATCAGTAGTAAGAAATTTATCCCAGTCCAGAAGTTCAGAATCTCCCATCCTTCTGGTTCCAAATCTGCAAATCTAAACCCTGTTCATTCTTCATTATTTGTCCACTACCTTCTATCTCATCTACCACAAATCACGTGGAAAAAGCAGAAGCAGATAATCCTATCGTTAATGTTTTCAACAAATGCATTTTTCGGTAAATTAGAGACTCTACAACATAGGCTGTACGGGCCAGAATTCTGGCCACCCGGCTCTAGCTGTCACCTACAGGGTAAATTACTTCATCCTGTGGACCCTCAGTTTTCCTCTTGGATAAACTAAGGCTCCCGAACTACCTGCCTCACCACGAGTCCTTTTGAGGCTTCAGTGAGCTGCAAACTGCTTTGAACAATGCCGTCAGATAAAAAGGTTCAACAAGTGTTATTTATTAACATCATACCCTGCTCCTCAAACGGAGGCGCTCTCCACTGAGAGAATAAAAAAGCTGAAGACTTGAGCTTGACATTCAGAGGCCTTCAGTGACTCCATTCTACCTCCCCAGGAACACCTTCCACTACTTTGCTACCCAACTCTCAACCCTTGCCCAAATGACCTGCAATGGAACCTCGAGCTCAAGAGGGGGCCGTTCTGTCCTCTTTTCAAAATTTCGGGGACTTCAACCCCGCCTTTCTATCTCACCTCCTTTCCAATTTCCCCCACCCACTCACACCCGGGGTAACATTCCCCTCCCGCGAGTGCCCGCAGTACTGGCCGTTCAACGGATCTTTTGGCATTCATTCCGCTTTGCAATGTCAATTATCTTCCTTTGGCTCCCGCAGTAGTGTTGAAGTCTAAGGGTGGGGGTGTGTCTCCTTCTTTGTGTGTTACACAGGCTCGAGGTGCCCAGTGCACCAAAGTAGACAATTTGCTGCTGCTACAAAAAAGTTACTCGCTGACAAAAAACTAGCCCGAAAGGGAACACAGCAGAACCGTTTACAAACTGGGCAGGTGCTGAACCGTTCTGGCGTGGAGAGGGCGGAGTGGGGGGTGGTCGCGAAGGTTTCCTTTGGAGGGGGAGGCGGGGACACTCATGCAGGCACCCGGGCTCCCTTCCGGGTGGCACGGGGTGGAGGGGCAATGGGGGGGGGGGCGCGAGCGCGGGGCGCGGGGTGCCAGCCCCCCACCCCTCACCTTCTCCTCCTCTTCCTCCTCCTCCTCCTCCTCCCCGGCGGAGCTGTAGGCCTCACAGTGGTGACGCGGGGTCATCCGGGGGCCCGTTACCACCCCATTTTCCTCAGCGCGCGTCGGCGGGGCGCGCGGGACGAGGACCGGACCGACTGAGGAGGGAGAAGAGGGGGAACCGGGCCGGGGGAGCGCGGGCGCTGGCGATCGAGCGGGACGCACGGCTGTGGCCGGTGGGTCAGCGAATTAGTTCCATGACTTCCCCGGACCTGAGGCTGCCGCGGCCACCGCCGGTCCCACTCCTCCAACCGCCGCCGCTAGTGCCCGGGTGGGGAGGGGGTTCCCTCTCGCCATAGGGCGGCGGGGGCCGGGGAGAGGCGGGGGGTGAGACCGGCTCTGCCCCTGCCCGGGGGAAGCGCCTCCGAGGGGAAATGGTGAAAAGGGGGGAAGGGGAGAAAAAGGAAAAAAAAGGGGAAGGGGGGGAAAATAAGAAAAAGCGAGACAGAGGCGCTGCCGCGTCCGCTCGCGGGGAAGGCTGGGGAGGGAGGGGAGGGAAGGAAGAAGTGCCGGTTCCTCGGCTCCGCCCTCGCGGACCGATTCCTAGACTTGCTCACTCCCTGTAAACAAGGCTAAACTGGTCTCGTGCCCTGTCGTTTTTCCTCTCCGCCGCCTTCCTCGTCCTACGAACGTACAGAGGAGCCCGGCAAAAAAAAAGCTGAGCTGTTGGAGACGGGAGGGAGAAGTCTTTAGCACTGGGGTGGAAGAAAGGAAGACGTTTTCTGTGTGCTAAGGGAGGTCAAAAGTGCACGGACTCATTTTCCTTGGAGAAGCGGAAGGGCACATCATCAGCTTCACGGTGACGTAAGCGCTCTCCACTCGCTGGCAGAGGCGTGCGGTGGCCGGAGAGTGCGCTGTGCGCATGCGCCCCGGGGAAGAAAGAAGCGGCTGAGAGCTCCGCTTGGGGGGTGGGGTTTTGTCTGGATGCTCTTCTGGACGACCCCAGAGCCACCTGATTTTATCCAACCTAATAGGTCTCTAGAGCTTGTAAGAAGGGTTTATTGGGAAGGGGCTGGTACTCTGTTGTGTAAAGATCTTGCATTCTTTGTTGACCTCGCAAAAAAGTGTCTGACAATTACGTATAAGTAGAATTGCGGTTTTTCTCTGTGGCGCATAGTGGATGGAGGTAGATTCTCAAGGGCTTTAGAAATCTGGCAATTCAGAGGTTCATATCCATAAGCACCTTCTTGGGTGCTAAAGTCGTCTTTTACAACCGTAAATTATACTCCTGATGGTGGGGAACCTTCTTGGTAATGCGCCAAGGGCATTCTATACGCTTAACCAACACATCTGAGTATTTGAGTAGGTTTTATTACCAGGTCTTTAATGAGTGTGTGGGGACATATAAATGTGTTTTATTTGAGGTTCTTTTATTCACCTATGATAATTTTGGGCTCATCTTTTAGTTGCTGCAATTATAGAAAGAATATGTGAAATTACAAAAAGGAAAAAAAAGCCCTCAAAGTCAACTATTTACAGGAGTAGCTCCTATTTTTTATAGGCCTATTTTACCAGTCATTGACAAAAATTATATTGAGCATATTCAGCACTTAGACTCAGTGCTAAGGTCTAGCAAACTGGAAGTAACCAAGACAGAAATAGCTCCTGCCTTCATGGAGTGTACAATCCAAACAGGATAAACATTAATCTGATTATCACTATCTAAAATTACTCAGTACATTTTTACCCAAAGATTACAAAACACTAATTTGAAGGGATATATGCACCCATGTGTTTATTGCAGCATTATTTACAATAGCCAAACTGGAAGCAGCCCACCTGTCCATTGATAGGTGAGTGGGTAAAGAAGATGTAGTATACATATATATATATATAT